TTTCTTTTTAATAACTTCATTTTCTTAATATGGTTTTTTTTTTTAAACACTTTTTTTTTTTATTATCCTTATTATATTCCTTGTTAGTTAAAAGAATACAAAGAAGAGAAGAAGCTATTTTGGTATAGCAATTAGGCTAGTTTAACATAAACCTCTAATTTTAAACTTTAGATTAGTTTACTAAGTTGTACTTGGGCATCTTTAAGGTAGCCGGATAATGGCAGGTTTGCAAACTAAGAGTAAACAGGTATATTTATTTAGTATTTTGTATATTGATATTATACTTAGGATTTTAATAAAACACTAGTAAAATTGTTTAAGTTTAAAAAAAAAAAAAAAAAAAAAAAAAAAATTATACAAACTGCAATAATACCTAATACTGTAAATTAATAAATTCAAAAACTTGATTTTTAAGTTTTTGTTAGATTTTGCCATGCACTACTACTAACATTAAAATAAAATAAAAAAATAAAAAATCAATATTTTTTATTTAATATATTAAAATCTTATATATATCATATTTACTCTATATAAATAATTTAAATACTTTTTTAAATTAGTCTGAATAACAATAACTCTCCTGTAATATAATTATATATTACTGACCAATTGGAATAATCATGTTATTTGTAGGTGCTTGATTAGGTTTTTCTGGTGTTTAAGCTTTTGCTAGTAAGTAATTAAGTTGTGAACCTAACCAGGCTCATTTTAGCCCACTTTAGGTTCAAATAAACCCAGCCAAGTACATTTTAGCCTATTTCAGGTTCAAATAAACCAAGCCAGTTCAAATAAATTCAATTTGGGTTCATTTCGATTTAAATAAGCCCAATCTGGGTTCATTTTAGCCCACTTCTGGTTAAATTAACCAAGCCAGATTCATATTTGAGCCCACTTCGGATTCAAATAAATCATTTGAGCCTACTTTGGGTTATATGAACTCAAACCGGTTTCATCTGAGCCTAATTTGGGTTCAAATAAACCGAGTTCATTTAAGCCTAAAATTTTAGGTTTAAACAAACCGGCTAGATTTAAATATTAAAACCTTTATATATAATTTATATATAATGTATATATTTTGATATATTAATTTGTAAAAATAAATTTCCGGAGCAACGCGACGGGTTACATACTAGTTACTATTAAAATTTTATATCAAATTTAAATATATTTTAAATATATATAGTATATATATATTAAAAATATTTTATCGAGAAATTTTGAAACCCAATTATAATCAGCTGCAAACAATCGATTGGTTTCAAGCGATTATCATTGATAGTGTTGGTAATCGATTTATAATAAATCAAATCAGCATGCACAAATTCGATTGAAAGAGATCAAATTAATTATACTCGATGATACTAATATATCAATTAAAATCGATGTGAATCTTCATCGGTTTTAATCAGTGGTGGTGATTGAAATCTCACGATTATAATCGGGTTTTTAAATTTCCTGAAATTATATAATTTGGTTAAAAAAGATAATATTGCCAAAAAAAATATATAAATAAATGCCAAAATTATTTGCTCATTTTTTAAAAATAATCAGGTTCAAAAAACTAAAACTTTTAGTTCAAGATACGTACTGTATTAACAATTTTTTCTCATTAATTATTGAACAAATTCTTAATTTTGTTATTGTTACAAAACAAACAGATGAATTAATAATTACTATCTTTTTTATTTTAAAATACTTGAATCATTAAAAAATAAAACTCTAATGCTGCAACTATAGAAACTCAGATATTCAGAAACATACAAATTTGAAATGCAAAATAGAGACACATTATTTACTCTTATTACTTTCATACATACGATCTAATTCCTCTCTATACTTTGCTTCTATGTCTTTACGCTTGATTTTCGACGCTGCGGTCAGAAGACCCTATAAATATAAGTGAGTATTAAAAATTATATCTGATAAAAAAAAGGTTAAACAATTTGAAATCTTACATTTTGAGCAGTCCACTCATCTGGTACTAACGTAATGGAACCGAACAATTCTGCAGGTTTCAAGCCTGCTTTCTTTGCCTGTGAAAGGCAAGCTTGTAAAACTGTTGACGTTATTTCTTTATTTGCACATAATTGCGCAAAATCCATGCCGCCCAAATTCTTCTCCTTAGCGATATTCCGGAGCTGAGCTTCCACAGGAAGTATGAGAGCCACAGGTTTATTCTGAAATGGGTTTGCACAAACACAAAGGTTGGACACATAAATCGTGGATTTGTAGATAGATTCGAGTCTTTCCAGAGCAATATATTCTCCATTTGCGAGTTTCACCAAATTCTTTTTCCTGTCAATAATGCATAAAGTTCCATTCTCTTTCCATTCTCCAATGTCACCAGTTTGGAGCCACCCATCTTCAGTAAAAGTCTCTTGTGTAACTTTTTCATTTTTGTAATAGCCTTTTGTGATACAAGGACCACGAATCCAAATTTCACCCTGAGGACGGGTGTTCGTGGAACGATAACCAGCTTCAGGAACATCTACTAGCTTAATCTCCAAACAAGGAACAGGTGCACCAACGCAGCCATAACTAAATTGATCCGGTGAAAGAACAGCACACATACTAAATATAAAAACGAAAAGACGGATACTATTGTTAGATAAAATAATTTTCAGCTATTATATTATCATAAAGCTTTCAGACAGAACTTACCCACAAGTTTCAGTCATTCCATATCCCTGTAAAACTGGACACAAAGCAATGGTCAAGAATTCTTGTGTCTCTTCGGAAAGAGGAGCACCTCCAGACAAAGCAAGTCTTAATCGACCACCAGTTTGCTGTTTGATCTTATTAAATACCATGATATCCAAAGGTTTAGTTGGTAAATCTCTTTGCGAAAGCCATGCTTTGGCTTTGAAAGCAGCAGCAAATACTCTTTGCACTGTTGGACTGCTGGAGTTAACTTTTGCCAAAACACCTTTTCTAATGGATTCCCAAACGGCCGGAACACCAATCATCAAAGTTGGTTTAAATTCTCGGATATCACCAAGACAATTACGTACAGATGCGTCCGTCAATGTACGTATGTTACCATAACCTAAAGTTATACCCCACCAGATACATACATGCTCCACGGTGAATTCAAGCACATGAGCGAGAGGAAGGTAAGTGATTGTAGTATCATCGGGTCGAATGTACTTTTTAAGAATTTCATTTATTCCAGCAACTAAAATGATTATGACCATGGTAAGTGACGTTATAATACTATGAAACTTAGATTTCAATATACAAACTCACTTGCAGCCACTAAATTTGAGTGGGTCAACAAGACGCCTTTTGGATTCCCTGTGCTGCCAGAAGTATACATAATACAACATAAATCATCCGGCTTTGGCGGAATTGGTTCTGCATGATGTTCCTTGCCTAATTGTTTGAGTTCACCCAAGGTCAAGATTTTAATTCCTGGATGATCGGATTTTAATTTGTCTGCTTCACCCTTTGATTCACCGTCATAAATAATACATTGAAGTGTTGGGACTTTTCCTATAACTTTTGCGGCCGTCGGAAGTAAGTCGGCATTAGTGAACATCCCTTTGACCTCTGACTCATTCATAGAATGTAAAAGACCATCTTCTCCCAGAGTTTCATATGCAGTAACAATAGTAATACTTTGTTTGAAGCATCCTGTAATAATTATAAGCTATTTTTTAACATATTCAAAATATATATTTATAAAAATAGAAAATAATTTATACCATGAGTCATAAGCATCCAATTAGCGCTGTTAAGAGAAACAATTAATTAATGGTTAATCATAAAAAAAAACTTGCAAATTTGATAGTCAGGCGTACCTAGTGGTTGAATAAATTGTAAACTTAGAATCAGGTTGCAAACCAAGTTTTGCCAAGCCGGAACCGATAAGTTTAGTTTCTTCGTCAACATCCGCAAAAGTTAAATAATTATATGGTGACATATGAAAGTATTTCCAAATTTTCTTTTCCTTAGTTTCTGCACCGCCCACAATCTTAGTGACTTCTTTTTCTTCCTCAATTATGGAAATAACCTCTCTATAGCCCATAGCTTGTTTAGTATTATAAGTTTTTACACTATGTTGCAATACGTCATATAAAGTTTTAATGCCTTCAGAAGGAGTGTCTAAAAGTTGGTTTGGAGAAAATAAAGAACGGCGTACAGGAGTTTCTCCTTCAACTTTGTCGCCAATAGAAACGCTATACTGTTTTTCCATTTTCGAGAGAGATTAGTAGGTACGAGAATTAATTTGAACGCCATGGTCTTTCTCACATGGATATTTATTAAATCATCGAACATTTTTATGGGTACTATGATTTACTTAACAACTACGAATCAATTAATTAATATCACATGTTCTCATGCGATATTTAATCAACATCACCAATTCAGATAACGATAACGATATATCAGAAGTATAATGGAAATACAATAAAACTTTTCATAGTCGTTATAGTCTAAATCAAACTTTCATATGTTTAATAATTTGTCTTTACTTAGCGGGAATCTACAATTTTTTAATGCTTGCACTGAAAGATTGAAAATATTTATCGTACGTATTTAGAAAAATTTTATATTATGTTGTATTTCAGATGCACCTCGAGTCCTGAGCGATTCTTGAAAACGATCAATTGCACATGAAAACATCAAAATGAAGTAAAAATTTTGATTGGATGGAGTACAGGATCTGAGTAACATCTCGGCGTCGTTACTTTTTGAGCATCTTATAATTGCACATATTGTCTGGAGCGAAACGGAGGGCTCAACGGAAATTAGATTCGATTTCAAAACTTAGATATCATTAATTTACTATCCTTAATAGTGTTTCATATTGAGCGGATTCGGTTCCGGATCGGAATCGGATACGTATTATATAATTTTATATAAATTCGTATTAATTTTTATAGTAATATTATAAACTTTCTATTTTTAGTATAAAAGTTTTTTATTTTAGATAAGAAATAGTTAAAGGTGGGTGATTTGTGAATTATTTATCATATGATTTTAGTAATATAATACTATAGATAAAAAAAATATCTATATATATACTGTATATTTTATACAATATAATCAAGAACTTGGCATTTAATATATTTTTAATTAATTTATAAATTAACTAACTAATTGTAATTAATTATACGGTATAATTCTTAAATTTGGCGTTTGAAGAAATATTAAGAGATAGCTCATTTTTGAAGAGATAAAAAAAATGGCAAAGCTTATAAGAAACAAAATCAGAATTTAATTTGTATAAATTTTCTATAATGTGTGAATGGGATTTTCTTACATAAAAGTATTTATTATTTTTTTTATTAAGTAAATCTCCAATTTCTAATTCAACTTGTAGAGCTAATTTTTCTGATTCTAACAGTAGTTAAATCATCAAAATCGGCTTAGTTTTTCACGAGATATGAATATATATTTTCAATTTTTACTATAGTATGATTTTTTTTTAATACCAAAAAGGCAAGGCATTTGCAAATTAATAGTAATATTGCGTCGTATTCGACTATAAAATTTTACTGCGAACTATCCCTTAAATGTTTTTTGCTATCTAATGCAGTCAGTGTTGGCAAAATGGACTATGTCCATATTGTCTATTTTTCTATTGAACATAAAGTACTTAGACCAGATCAAACACGTGAGCTTGCTACACCGAAATATTCCTGATAGAATAAGCCAAAATTAGGGAAATGTTCTGAAATATTCGGCAAAGAAGATATTAGTCCATGCCCATATTTGTCCAAATAAAATTTTTATCGGAAATAGTCCAAATGCCAACACTGAGTGCAGTCAAACCTCTCTATAACCATGCACTTGGTATTAGTGATATGGGCCTCGGGTCAGGGACGGCCCGAGCTGACCAGCCTTGGGGCAGCCGATAAGGGCTGACCTTTTTATAAATGATTTTGAATAATTCCGAACCTTTCTCTCTCTTTAAATATCGATTGAAAGTAATTCAGATTCGACTCGATAATATGGGGTGTCAGTAGAAACAAGGCAAATTGTTTTGGGTAAGTTTTTTTAAACCTTTAAAATATCTCAACAACTATTAAACCAATCTTGATAAATTTTTTATTTATTTTAATTCTATAGCTAAATAGAATTAAAATAAAAAATTTTTATCAAGTTTGGTTTAATAGTTGTTGAGATATTTTAATTTAAAGTCTAAA